TGAGATAAAGGAACCAGCTCTGACAAGTCACTGTGGTCTGTGGTGACGTCAGCAGTGTGTGTCACGTGGGTTCTGAGATAAAGGAACCAGCTCAGACAAGTCACCGTGGTCTGTGGTGACGTCACCAGTGTGTCACGTGGGTTCTGAGATAAAGGAACCAGCTCTGACAAGAGTCACCGAGGTCTGTGGTGACGTCACCAGTGTGTCACGTGGGTTCTGAGATAAAGGAACCAGCTCTGACAAGAGTCACCGAGGTCTGTGGTGACGAGGTCTGTGGTGACGTCAGCAGTGTGTGTCACGTGGGTTCTGTGATAATTGAACCAGCTCTGACAAGTCACTGGGGTCTGTGGTGACGTCAGCAGTGTGTGTCACGTGGGCTCTGAGATAAAGGAATCAGCTCTGACAAGAGTCACTGTGGTCTGTGGTGACGTCACCAGCGTGTCACGTGGGTTCTGAGATAAATGAACCAGCTCTGACAAGTCACTGGGGTCTGTGGTGACGTCAGCAGTGTGTGTCACGTGGGTTCTGTGATAATTGAACCAGCTCTGACAAGAGTCACCGTGGTCTGTGGTGACGTCACCAGCGTGTCACGTGGGTTCTGAGATAAAGGAACCAGCTCAGACAAGTCACTGGGGTCTCATGGTAGCAAACATTCCCTTTCCTCTCTAGCAGCAAGGACCTCAGTCAGGAGTTCCAGATGACACCCAAGGAGTGATGAGAAGTGACAGTGGAGGGCAGGGAGCCTTGGGGAGGAGCCCGGCCCACCCACCTTGTCGTCCAGAGCAGCCATGCGTTCCTTCAGATGAAGCTGGAGTCTCTCATTAGACTCAGAGAGGAGCTTGTCCACGGTGTCTGACAATCGTTTATTGTGCTCCTCGTTCATTTTCTCCCTCTGCCGGGCCTACAATGGAGAAGCAGGAACTGACAAATGGGATCCGTACATGGCTGTCTGTGGGCCTGTCGGGTGAATTACAGGGGAGCCCGCTGTCCCAGGGTGGATTTATGTACAGAGCTAACACAGGGAGGATACATGAATACAGGCAGGGATCACGTGATTAGGCAGCCCCCCACCCCCACCCCATGAAGCGACGAGCACGCAGTCCCAGAGGGCACGTCTATGTGTAAGTTGTTGGTAAATGCGCTCAGGCAGGTTCTGACTCATCGTGACCCTGTGGAGTCCTGGTGTGGCGCTGCAGGATAAACACTGGACTGTGAACCACACGGTCAGTGGCTCCAAACCCACCAGCTGCTCCTGGGAAACCCTACAGAGGGTGGCGGCAGGGAGTCGAAACTGACATGGTGGCACTTTATCAACCACAGCATAGAGCTTCCAAGGAGTGGCTGATGGGTTTGAACCGCCAACGCGTAGTTAGCAATCCAGTGCTGTACCACCACACTGTCGCCGTCAAGTCAGTTCCAACTCATACTGAACCTGTATAGGGTTTCCCAGGAGAAGCTGGTAGTAGATTTGAACTGCTGACCTTGCCATTCAAACTGACCTTGTGGTCCAGTGCTTACCTTACAGTGCCACACCAGGACTCCTCTAGGGGTCAGATTCGGGAGTTGTTAAGGGGCCAACTCATCTACATTCCAGTGTAGGAATGTTTCCTTGTGTAAATAAAAGCTGAGGTTTGGATTCAGGAGGAGAAAGAGGAATTAAATTTACAAAACAAAAGGTAAAAAAGTTTTCAAAAGAATACTAAAATGCATTGAATCCTACGCTTGAATGGAATGAATGGTCTGGTATGTGGATGAGGTATCTGTAGACAATAATGATAAAGCTTACTGTCTATTCCACAGGCGAAAACGTCAGAGGTGATATGAAAGCAGACTTTTATCTTTGCACCTGCAGGGTTTGGATCTTTTCTAATGAAGTTGTATTTGAAAATTTTAAATGATGGCCTCAAGTAACTTAACAACATAGCGAAGTTGGTAAGTGTGCATTGTTCTTACTGTGTTGTTGGTAGGTACCATCGAGTCTGCTTGGACCCTATGTACAAGAGAACGAAACACTGCCCAGTCCTGCCTCATCCTCACGATCACAGCCACCACTGAGCCTACTGCTCAAGCTACTGTGCCAATCCATCTCCTTGGGGGTCTTCCTCTTTTTCTCCGACCCTCTATCTACTTTACCAAACAGAATGTGCTCCTCCAGGGACTGGTCCTTCCTGACAACATGTCCTCGATCCTAAGGAGTACTCTGGCTGTGTTTCCTTCAAACACCGATTTGTTTGTACATCTAAGTGGTCCCCGGTATATCTAATATTGTTTTGCAAACACCATAATTCAAAGGCATCAAGTCTTCTCTGGTCTTCCTTATACAGTATTCAACTTTCAGATGTATATGAGGTGAGTGAAGTAACATGGCCTGGGTCAGGCACACCTTAATCTTCAAAGTGACACCTTTGCTTCTGAACACTTTGAAGGTTTTTTGCAGCAGATTTGACCAATGTAAGACACAGTTTGATGTCTTGACTGCTGTTTCCAAGGGTGTTGATTGTGGGCCCTGGTAAAATGACATTCCTGACAAGGTTAATCTTTTAGTGGTGGGGCTTTATTCATTTTTTTTTAAATCTTTTACTGTGAATTATGTGATAGTTTACATGGGAGAACATTAGCTTTATATTCAACCTATCGTATATTGTTTCACTGCCATGGTTACAATCCCCTCCATGCGTCATCAACCAACCACAAGATATATACTACAAGCCTGCACCCCAGTTGTCAGCACACAGTCCCTCTCCCTCTCTGGGTCTAAAGTCCCCAGCTGCTCCATTTCTCCACGACATCATCTCTGCCTCCATGTCTGGCGTCACTGCTTCTCTGGGTAGGGGCCCGCTCTCTGCTCTTCTCCCTTGATGGTCCCAAGGACCTCAGCTCCTAGACTGCAAAAGTCAACCACTCCCCTACTTTTGTTACAAAACCTCTACCTTTACATTTCCAACCCTCCCAGTCAGTCCTGATAGCAATGATTCACTATTGTCAGTGGTGGGGACTTTTATCTTCTTTACATTGAAGTGCAATCCACACTGAAGGCCGTGGTCTTTGACCTTCATCAGTTAAGTACTTCAGGTCCCTTTAACTTTCAGCAAGTAAGGTTGTAGCATCTGCATATCACAAGGTTGCTAATGAGTCTTCCTCCAATCCTGATGCCAAGTTCTTCTTCATGTAATCCAGCTTCTCCTGTTATCTGCTCAGCATACAGATGGAATAAGAATGTTGAAAGGATAGAACCCGGGGGGAACAGTGTTCCTGATTTAAAACCACACAGTACCCCCTTGTTCTGTTCTAACAACGATCTACGCACAGGCTCCTCTGAGCACGGTGAACTGTAACGGAATATTCCCATTGTTCACAATGTTGTCTGTAGTGTGTCATGATCCATACTGCCGAGTGCCTCTGTGCAGTCAAGAAAACACATCTTTCTGGTATTCTCTGCTTTCAGTCACGATTCCACCTGAAAGTTAGCAGTGGCATTCCTCAACCCACATCTTCTGAACCCGGCTTGAATTTCTACAACCACTTTGAATTCTCTTCAGCAGAATCATACTATGTGTGGTGTAGATGATGACGATGTTGGTGTGAAGTGCCGATGCATTGGTTCTGACTCACAGCAACGCTGTACAGGTTTCTGAGGAGCGACAACTAGTGGATTTGAACCTCTGACCTTATGGTTAGCAGTCCAATGCTTATGCTATGGTATCACACCAGAAGGAAGCCCACCCTCTCTAGGGGCAGCTCTCTCTGGACTAGGGAGACATGAGCCTCTCCCCCACTCGCTGGCACAGATGAGTCAGTACTTCCTGCGCCGCACACACTTGTAGAAACACCTCAGTCGGCACCTGTCGGTTCCTGGAGTCTCATCTTTCAGCAGCGCCGTGAATGCAGCTCAGACCTCTCTCTTCAGTACCACTGCTTTTCCATCAGAAGCTGCCTCCTGAAATGGTTGAGCGTCAGTTTGTCCCAGACACAAACTTCCATGTTTTTTGATACTTCCGACATCAGTCTTCAACACTGAGTCATTCCACATTGGAACTGAAGACTTTATAGTACTGTAAATCCTTTCAGCTTGAGAAATGCTATGTACGTCCATCTCTTTGGTTTCCTAACTCCAGGTCTGTGCACATTTCATTGTAACACTTGACTCTGTCTTCTGACAAGCTGCCCTTTGAAATCTGTTCAGTTCTTCTACATCATTGTTTCTTCCTTATGCTTTAACCACCTTGCATCCAAAAGCAAGTTTCAGAGTCTCTTCTGGCATCCATTTTGGTCTTTTCTTTCTTTCCTGTCTTTCTTCTACTGACCTTTTAGTTTCTTTATGAGTGATGTTCTTGATATTCTCCTTCAACTTGTCTGACGTTTGGTCATTAGGGTCCAATGTGCCAAATCTGTTCTTCAGATGGCCTGTAAACTCAGGTGGCACACACTCAAAATTACACTTTAGCTTCTGTCAACTTGTTTTCATTTTCTTCAGCGTGAACTTGCACATTGAAAGTGTATTCCACAACTGGCCCCTGACCCTATTTCCATGGATGACACTGAGCTTCTCCATGTCCTTTTCCACAGACGTAGTCGACTGAGTTCCCATGTTCTCCATCTGGCAAGGTCCACATGGGTCACTCTGTCTTATGTTGTTGAAAAAGGGTGTTTACAACGGAGAGATCATTGGCTGTACAAAATCCTATCATAGTATCTCCCGGGTCACACCTACTACCAACCAAGGCCATATTTCCAAGTACTGATGCTTTGTTTTGTTTTGAACTTTCTCAATCCAGTTATCAGAACCTATATCAAGGCATCCTGACTGCATGCCTGAACAGTTTCGGAGTGCAGAAGTCAGTAAAAATCTTTAATTTCTTTACGTTTGGCATTATGATTGATGCGCAAATCTGACGAATCGTGGTAGTAACTGATTTTCCTTGCAGGCATGCACACATTATCTTAACACGGGCAGTATCAGACTATAGGATAAACCCTGAGAGATCTCTTGAGACAAGGAATGCGATGCTGCAAGTCCAGCCTAGTTGACTGTCTTGTCCACATGGCCAAGGCTTCTTCTCAGTTCCAGAATGCCGAGGGGACCTAGCTACAAGTCCTGGGGTGGGGCTTTAGGAACAGCAGCAGACTACTAACCACAAGGTTGGCAGTTCCAGCTCACTAGTCACTGCTGGGAAACCCTGTAGAGGGCGGCTACGGGTCAGAACCGACACCTCAGCAAGTACTACCACCACCACCATCCCCAAGTGTTCTGTTCCATAGCTGGTACTTCCCACAAACCCTTCATCGATGTCCTGATTAAGGCCTGAGCTGCAGACACTCAACGGGCCCTTCTCCTCCTCCTCCCCCGGTAGGAAACGACCTTGTGCTCCAGCAGGGCCAGAACCTCCTTCTTCCGGGCTAGGAGCTGTTCCCATGGTGACGCCATCTACCCTGTGAGAGGTGGGGTCTTCGTTTGCTGGGGCTCAGGCTGCATCTCTGGTTTTGCATTCCTGCCAGGAAGCTGCCCACAGGGCTGCATGGGCTCCCAGGTTGCTGTGCTTCCGGTCTTTCCCCACCTGCAGCAGCGGGACCCAGGGCTGCTTTTAGCTCCATCTGCTTCCAGGATGCTATGGGCTGACGTGGGCCCGACTCTTCCTGGGACCCCACAGTGCTCACAGCTCAGCCTCCGTTCTCCTCACACTCAGGACACTTCCATCCCCTTTACACTCAGGCTAACGATCTGTATTTCGGGAGCGCGTTGGGACCTGAAGCTCGATTTGGGACAAGGCCCCCTGTGCACTAGTGTGATGATCACGGAGTTTCTTTGGACCCGTGAGTCCTGTGGCTGCCTGCCCATCTGCCACCAGTGTCTCCTGACTGACATGGCGAGTCTGTGCAGGAGGCATGCTGAGCAGAGACACAGAATAAGCACATCAGACAGGACTCTGGGGAGGAGGGTCCCAGGCGCCCCCGCCATACCCGCTGCAGTTCCTGGTTCTTCTCCTCCAGCTGCACCTCCATCTGCCGCAGCCGCTCCTCGATGTTGCCGTGCCTCTCCTCCGCCTGTCAGCAAAAGCGAGGGCAGACAGAGCGGACAGTTAAGACTCTGCAGACGACATACCGCCTCCTACCGCAGGACCAGCAAGCGAACATGCTCGGTGTGAACAACTGCTCAACAGCATCTACAAACAGCAACACATCCTAGGTGGCGGCGGCGTGGGCGGACCCATGGAGCAGGTCTCTGTCTCATGCTGGTGCCTGAGGCATGGCTGGTGTAGGGTCCTTTCACCCCAGGCCCGCGGCAAACCTCAATGGGCTCCTGTCCGTCCACCCCCACCCCCACCCCCCGGAGGGCTTGTGGTTGGCCGGCATGAAAAGCAGACAGCAGCAAGCACAAGTAAGGACCACGGTATAAGCTCTACCTTCCTGAGCTTGGAGGTAAGGCCCAACAGTTTAGCTTCCTTGGCAGCAGAGCTCCCAGCAGACAAGAGGTCAGACTACAGCGTCGACAAGGGCAAGGAGGGTCCCAGGGGAAAGAAACCAAGACTTTAAAGCAGGTCACGCAGAGAGAGGGGAGGTGCTGGGACAGCCTGCAGGAGCCCGCGCAGCAGGTGGGGCCACCGCCAACCCTGACCAATGAGAACCTGGGTCCCTCAGCTCACTGGCCCCTCAGCGGCCAAACAGGACCCTTCACAGGGGCCCACTTCTCTATAGGCCTTCCTTCCGTCATAGCTACATCCAGACCATGCTCCTCACTCCAAGTCTCTTCAGACAGGGTGAGAACCCAGGGGCCTCATTTCCCACCGGGGATGGTGTGAACTAGGGGCAGGGTTGTCCAGCCTCTGCCTTGTCAGTATGTGTGGGCCTGATGAATGAATAAATTATTTAAAAACGTAAGCATTTATTTTGTTTAAGTCTGGCTCTTTCTAACTTTGGAGAAAAAGTGTCCTAGGCTTAGACAAACTTCTGTCTGACTCTGAGTTCTGGATTTAGCTCTGGGCCCACGCATTCCGTGGCCAAACAGTATGTGCCTGCAAACCTAGATGGGAATCAATTTAGGAAGACGGGAGCGAGGAAGATGCCTACAATTTAAAGAGCTTCGCCCCCTGAGACGTAGGACACCCCAAATACAATGCTGCACAATCAGGAGAACAATGAGGACACGGTACACAGACAAGGCACAGGCGACGGCCGCCCCCAGCAGGACCCCACCTTGGACAGTGCGGCCACCCTCTGCGCCAGCTCCGCCTCCACCTCGGGCAGGCTCTCGGCCTTGCGCAGTGTCTGCTGGAGCTTCTGTTCTGCGAGCTCCAGGCGCTCCTGCAGCTGCCGGTTTTTATCCTCCGTCTGCAAAGGGAAAGCAGAGCGTCACGTTGCTACCCATGCACTTCATGAGTGGCCGCCCAGCTTCCGGGCAGGCACGCACTTCGGCTCAGGTGGATGCAGTTCTGCCTGATAGGAGCAGAGCAACCTGCTCAGGCTTCCTGTCATGGGCAACACCCTTTCCAACACACTGACTGCTCTTCCTAAAGCTCTTCACAGAAGCTGCATTATGAATGGAGAAAGCTGGTCATAAAGTTTCTTCCCATTGTCTAACAAAGGAGCCCTGGTGGCACCATGGGCTAAGCGCTCCACTGCTAATGGAGAACTTCTGTGAGGGAGAAAGACGTGACAGTCTGCTTACGGGAAGGTACCAGCCTTGGACACCTTCTGGGGCAGCCCTCCTTTGCCCGGCAGACTTGCTGGGAATTGACATCCACTGGACTAAGTCGTCTGCTAACCAAAAGGTCTACAACTGAAACCCATCCACAGCTCCGTGGGAGAACCAAGTAGCTGTCGGCTTGGGCAACTCCACGGGTCAGCTGTCCTCTGCCCTATAGACTCACTAGGGGTCTGTGCACAGGGGGGTACAGTGTTGTGCCCAGGCTCAGCGATACCCTCCCAGCCACCCTCAGGTTTACTGCTGGGGGACGGCAGGCAGGCCTGCAGCACCCCCACATGCACTTAGGGCAACACACGGCTCTCGTCTCTGAACCAATACAGACTCTCGTCAAGGACGCCCAGTGAAACATGCATGGGTCAAGGCGTTTATAAAAAACCTATTGTTCGTTTTAAGAATCTTCCTATGCTACACAACGATGTCAACATAAACAATATGGAAAACAGGCTTGGAGAAAATTTCAGAACGGTCTCTAAGTGCAGGCGTGACTGCATCACACCCAGCTTTCCTTCTTTGTGTGTGCACCTCTCTTTCTTTCTGGACGTGCACAGCATGCTTGGTGGCCATGAAGTGCCGGTAAGTTCTGACTCATAGTGGACCCTGTATACGGTCTACGGGAGGCGGGTAAATTTGAACCAAGGATCTTGCTTGCGGTTAGCAGTCAATTGCTTATCTTACAGCGCCACAGCAGGGCTCACATTGTGCTTTGTTGTTAGATGCCATAGAGTCGATACCGACTCACAGTGACCCTAAGCATAACAGAACGAAACTGACCAGTCCCTGCATCAACCTCACAGTTGTTGCTATACTTAAGTCCACTGCTGCTGCCACTGTGCCAATTCCATGTCAGTGGGTGGGTGGGGGGATCTTCCTCATCTTCGACCCTTCACTCTACCAAACATGGTATCTTTCTTCAGGGACGGGTCCCTCCTGACAACACATCTGACGTAGGAGCGGTGAAGTCTGGCCATCCTGGGTTCCAAGGAGCTTGTATTCTGCTTGTATTTCTTCCAATACTAATTTGTTTGTTCTTTTGGTTGCCCTGGTACTTTCAATATTCTCCAAAACCGTTAACTCAAATGCATCAGGTCTTCTACGGTCTTCTTTATTAACTGTCCAACATTCATATGAATGTGAGGTGATTGAAAATACCACGGCTTGGGTCAGGCACACCTTAATCCTCAAACTGACATCTTTGTTCTTCAACACTTTAAAGAGGTCTTGTGCAGCAGATTTGCCTAATGTAATACATCACATGATTTCTTGACTGCTGTTTCCATGGGAGTTGATGGTTGATTTGAGCGAAATGAAGTCTTTGACAACTTCAATCTTTTCTCCATTGATATGAAGAAAAGTTATAAAAATCTAGTGGTGAGTATTTTTGGTTTCTTTACATAGAGCTTCAACCTGTACCGAAGGCTGCGGTCTTTAACCTTCATCAGTAAATATTTTACGTCCTCTTCACTTTCAGCAAGCAAGTTTGTATCATCTGCAAATGGCAGGTTGTTGATGAGTTTTCCTCCAATCCTAATATTATATAATCCAGCTTCTCAGATTATTTGCTCAGTATACAGATTGAGTAAGTATGGTGAAAGAATACAACCCTGGTGCATACCTTTCCTAATTTTAAACCATATGGTGTTCCCTTGTTCTATTCAAACAACTGCCTCTTGGTCTACGTACAGAGTCCTCATGAGCACAAATAAGTGTTACGGAATATTTATACTTCATAATGTTGTCCATAGCTTATCATGATCCACACAATCAAAAGCCTTTGCGTAGTCAATAGAGCACATTTAAACATCTTTCTGACATCAGCAATGATATCCCTCATTCTATGCCTTCTTCTGAAACTGGTTTGAACCTCTAGAAGTACCTCTGTCAATGTATGGTTGCAGCCATTTCTGTGTCTCCTTTAATAAAACTTAACTCACATGGGATAGATAGCAAAGAGATTGTCCCATGCGGTCTGCGTTCTGTTGGGTCACCTCTCTTTGGAATAGGCACAAATACGATCTTTTCTAGTGAGTTGACCAAGTAGTCGTCTTCCAAATTTCTTGGCATAGATGAGTGAGTGCCTCCTGTGCTGCCTCACTTTGCTGAAAGATTTCCATTGGTATTCCATCAATTTCTGGTGCCTTGTTCTTTGCCAATGCCTTTAATGCACTTTGGACTTTTTCCTTCAGGATCACTGGCTCTTGATCCTATGTTACCTCTTGAAATGGTTGAACATCAACTATTTCTTTTTGGTACAGTGACTGCGTTTTTCTTCCATCTTCTTTTGATGCTTTCTGCATCATTCAGTATTTTGTCCATAAAATTCTTCAATATCACAAGTTGAGGCTTGATTTTTTTTTCTTCAATTCCCTCAGCTTGAGAAATGCTGAGCATGTTCTTCCCTTTTGGTTTTCTAACTCCAGGTCTTTGCACATTTTGTTACAATATTTGTCTTCTTGAGCTGGCTTTTGAAATTTTCTGTTCAGCTCATGTACCTCCTTCATTTCTTCCATTTGCTTTAGCATCTCTACGCTGGAGACCAAGTTTCAGAGTCTCTTCTGACATCCATTTTGGCCTTTCTCTTCTCTCTTCTCTTCTCAATGACTTCTTGCTTTCTTCCTGTATGATGTTCTTGATGTCATCCCACAACTCTTTTCGTCTTCAGTGTATAATGTATCAAATCTGTCCTTCAGATGATCTCTAAACTCAGGTGAGATTTGTTCTAGGTATATTTTGGCTCTCGTGGACCTGCTTTCATTTTCTCCAGCTTTAGTTTGAATTTGCATATGAACAACTGTTGGTCTGTTCCACAATCTGCCCCTGGCCTTGTTTTGGCTGATGATACGGAGTTTTTCCATCATTTCTTTCTACAGATGTAGTCAATCTGATTTTTGTGTATTCCATCTGGTGAGATCATCTTTTATATTGTTTAAAAAAGGTATCTGCAATGAAGAAATCACTGGTCTTGCTAAATTCTATCATGCGATCACCAGCATCATTTCTATCATGAAGACCATATTTCCCAACTACTGATCCTTCCACTTTGTTTCCAACCTTTGCATTCCAAAGGCCAGTAATTATCAATACATCTTGATGCATGGTTGATCAATTTCAGACTGAATAAGTTGGGAGAATTCTTTAATTTCATCTTCACTGGTTGGTGCGTAAACTTGAACAATAGTGGTATTCACTGGTCTTCCTTGTAGGCGGGTGCATGTTATCCAATCCCAGACAGTGTTGTAGTACCTCAAGACAGATCTTGATATGTCATTTCTGATGATGAATGTGACTCCACCCCTCTTTAGTCTGTCATCCTCGGCCTAGTAAGTCATGTGACCGTCAGATTCAGAATAGCCAGTGTCAGTCCATTTCAGCTCAGTAATACCTAGAATATCAATGTTTATGCGTTCCATTTCATTTCCACAACTTCCAGTTTTCCTAGAGTCATACTTCATACATTCCACGCTCTGATTATCAATGGATGTTTACAGCTGTTTCTCTTCATTTTGAGTTGTGCCCCATCAGCCAATGAAGGTCCCGCAGGCTTTACTGCATTCATGTCATCACCGTCAGCACTAATCTGAGGAGGCAGCTTTTCCCGAGGAGCATTTTAAGTGCCTTCTGACCTGAGGCGCTCATCTTCTGGTATTCCGAGGAGCATTTAAGCGCCTTCTGACCTGAGGCGCTCATCTTCCGGTTTCCCGAGGAGCATTTAAGCGCCTTCT